AAATTGATTACTGTTTGTGTTTTACTCATTTTATTGTGAATAATAAATTGATTTTAAAAAAAAAAAAAAAAAAACGCTACCCTAACTCCCTCTGCAAATTATTCTAATAAGTTTTGGTCATGCTTTTTATTAATAGAAAAATCTCTAATTTCGGAGTGTACACTCCTCATTTTTTTGTTGTTGTTGTTTTGACATGAAAGTTATTTTGATTTTTTCATTTTTCAATTTGTCTATTTATCGATTATAAAATGTCTGATTATGGCAACTATAGTAGTGATGATGGTTCATGTGATGAAATCGGTATTTATCTTTTTATATTTTTTTCAGGTTGATTGATTGATTGGTTTGAAATTAGGATTACCGAAAACACCGGGTGCACCATTGAATGCTAATCGTTCGGATTCGGAAAAAGATGATGATTCGAATGATAATGAAATTTCAGCAAGTAATTCTGGCCAAAGTGATAATGATGATGATGATGATGAAGTGAATCGAAGTGATGGACCAAATGAAAACGAATCGAATGCAGAAAATGATTCGAGCGATAAAAAATCAATAAGTTCTCCTGATGAATCTGAAGCCGAACAAAAAAGTAGCGAAAGTGATTCGGATAATAATAATGTCAACAGCGATGATGAAATTAATGCGAAATCAAATCAAAACAGTTCACCCATCGACAATAAACGCAACGAAGTTTCCGACGACGGTGATGATGATGATGGACATTCGAATAGAAATCGAAAACGTCGTAACTCAAGTTCAGATGAATCAGAACAAGATGATGAAACAAATAATGTTAGGAAAAAAAGAAAAACTGTTATCCATTCTTCGTCCGATGATAATGATGATGATGATAATGGTAATAATAGTGGTGGTGGCGATAACGATATAAAAATGAGTAAATCAAAAACTGAAGAAGATTTATTCGGTGAATTGAGCGATGAAGATGACGATGATCAACAACCAAATCGTACAATTCAAATGGACAAAAAACCAATGGCCAATATAGACGATGATGATGATGAGGATGATGATGATCGTGTGAATCGCGAAGTCGATACAAACATGAATGAAATATTTGGTGGTGTTGGCGATGATGATGAAAGAGCAAACAATGAAAACATTGATGAAGAACAAGATTTACCAATACCGGAAACACGAATCGAAGTGGAAATTCCTCGAATCACTGCCAATCTTGGCGATAGTATACATTTCGTAAAGTTACCCAATTTTTTGAGTATCGATACACATCCATATGATCCTCAATGGTATGAAGATGAAATCGATGAAGATGAAGTTCATGATGATGAAGGTAGAGCAAGACTTAAGTTAAAAGTTGAAAATACTGTTCGTTGGCGTAATGTTACCGATGAGGATGGCGAAACGCATAGCAGAGAAAGTAATGCACGTGTTGTTGAATGGTCGGATGGTAGTAGATCATTACATTTAGGTGATGAAATATTCGATATTCAAACATTGAATTTATTGCCCGGCGAAAATAATCATCTATACATTCGACAAGGCACTGGATTACAAGGACAATCAGTATTTAAAACAAAACTAACGTTTCGACCATTTTCCACCGAAAGTGTTACACATCGTAAACTTACAATGTCATTGGCTGATCGTAGCCAAAAAACGCAAAAAATTTGTGTTCTTCCAAATGTTGGCAAAGATCCGGAAGCACATCGATCCGAAATGATCAAAAAAGAAGAAGTCAAATTGAAAGCTTCAATTCGAAAAGAAAACAAAACAAAACGAGTAAAAGATCGAAGTTTCACACGTGGTTTATCCAATGCATATCTTGATCATGATGATGAAGATGATGAAAGTATTTCTATTGCCAAAATTAAAAATCAATATAAACATGGACCGGGTAATCCTAATTTATCTCAATATAGCGATGATGATGATGAAAGTGATAATGATGATGATAGTGAACCGGTAAGTTGATAATAATCTTTTTTTTTTCTTTTTAAAAAAATTAATTTTCTCTATCTTTTTTATATTCGAATATTAGGATATATTTGAAAAGAAAAAAACTGCTGATAAACGTAAAATTGTTGTCGAAAGTGATGATGATGATCAATCTGATTAAACATTCTTTTATTGTAACATTGTTTACAAATCGAATTTGTTCAAAAAAAAAAAAATAACATTTACTTTCATTTCAAATAATAATAACCATTTTAGTTTATTTTTTAAAAAATAAAATAATTCACATAAAAAGAGTAAAACATAATTATAAAGGAGAGAGAAAGTATATCACAAGTGTTGTCATGATGAAAGAAATGATAAGAAACATTATCCAACCAAATATCGATTGGTTAGTTCATTTGGTTTTCAGATTATATGGTTGGATGAAAAATAAAATGATGATTTATCCATACAGTGATGATGATAATGAGATGAGATAGTTATAATGGTAATAATGATGATGATGAAGATGGTAACCATAAAGAGATCAACGAACAAAACGAAATATATATTGCAGAAAAGATTAATTTTTTACATCAACAACCGGTATCGATACTTTGACAGGCAATACATAATCATATCCACCTTTGGATGCCATCTGATTTTGTATGGTTCGAATCTAATAAAGATAATGATATTGAAATGAAAAAATTTAGATGAAAACAAAACTTACATGATTGGACATTTCAGCAGAGCCATCACCGCCACCACCAACATGAGCTGTATGCCGGAAATTGGTGGGATTTCCAATCATTGAACGGTCGATTCGTCTTCGTCGCTAAAATATATAATTATAATGACCCAAATTTAGAAATTTGGAAAATCCAAATTTTAAAAAAATCAAAAAAAAAATTACATACCGTGGGTTGTGGTCGATTGGTTACGATACCACAAGTAAAACATTGAATCCATAATTCGCTCATTATTCTTTTATTCTATTTTTCTTTTCTTTTTCTTTTTTGATTACAAGCCGATCAAGATCAAAGGAAGAGAGAGAGAGGAAAGGCAACGAGAATATTTCGATACAATTTACATTCAAATCATCAAACAAAATAAATGAACAAACGAATCGATTGTTGATTGCAAAATAACGATTGATTCTTTCATTTGATTGATTGACATCAAAGAGAGAACTGCGTCTATAGAAATGAGATTGAAATGAAAATATTAAATATAAACAGAATTTTTTTGATTTCAAGTTATAAACTTTTGTTGTTGTTGGATCACACAGGGAATCAAAAAACAAAACAAAAATGAATCAAACATTCAATTTTTTTTTGGTAATAAAAATGTTTCGAGTTCAATTCAAACAAACAAACACACACACTGGTTGCCAAAATTGTCTAAATAATAAGAAAAAAAAATGAAGGTTTTTATTGAAAAAGAATATAACCTAATTCTGGCAACATTTTAATATTGATATTAAATGTGTGGTTAGAGAAGTGAAAACAATGTGAATGAAAAAAAAGTGAAATTTCTTATTTCTTGAACAAAACACATTTCTAAAAACGAATTGATCAAATCAAAGCAATAAGATGATAACCTTGATGATGATGTATTTGATAAATCAACATTCCATAATAAAAAAAAAAATTTCGCCTCTTAACTACAATTCAATTTATTGCCAGGTGGTGGTGGTGGTGGTAGTTAAAATTATATCGATATTATTAATCGATTGAAATTATTATTTTGAAAATAAAAAAAACTGGTGGCAAAACTACTGCTTTTAATATCTGGAATGAATGTGAATAACTTTTTATCATTAAAAACAAATGATTTCCTATTTTTGTTTGTCGCCGACAATTCTCTTCTACACTAGCTTACAGGAAATTCAATTGAATGATAAGAAATGAGCTTATTATATTCAGACCCCAAAAAGAATAATCATGTTTGTTGTTTTTACCAATTTTGTTACAGCTGACAACAAAAAGAAGATATTTGTCATATCAGTGATTTAATTGATTGAGATGGTCAAAGATAAGGTGATTTCGATCAAACAGGTATGATCTTATCACAACGAAGACTTTCCGATTTTTTAAAAAAATCAACAATTAGTTTTTCACACACATGTTTTTGTTATTTGATTTCACATATACAACTTGTTGATTGGTCGATAACCGATTTTTTTTTGTTGACAAATTATTTTGGTTTTGTAGCAAATGTTTTTTACAAACTAACAAAATACAGAAATAGAAAACAATCACGATCACACACACACAAACAAACAACTACATCGAACTGACGAAAGAATTCAAATGATGATGATGGTGGAAAAAAAGAAACGCATATTTTTATGGCCAAAAAAAAACATCGACATCATTGCAGTGGCTTCAATACATCGAATGATGATGATTCATATGGCTGACATGCGTAGTAATTAATATTTTTGGGTCGCAAAAAAAAAAACATAACAATTTTCTTTCCAATTTACACAATAATTATTCATCATCGTCGTCGTCCAATTTTTTTTTTGAGGTCAGACGCATCCGATACAACAATGTTTACATCCGTATACTTTGATTGTTTTTTTTGTTTGTTGTTGTTGTTGTTAACGACGTTATTCATACTATTCAATAAGTCATTCAGTTCAGTTGGTAGGTTGATCCAAATATGGTTGTCAAAAAAACGAAAAAAACAAAACAAAAAATCCCATCTTCAATTAATATCATCATTGTTTTTTGACAATATTAATGATGAAATCATCATTAACATTTTAAATGGAATAACATTTGGCATATGGAAAAAATTATTCATTTTGCTTGCAATCGTTTTTGGATCGTTAATTTTGGGAATATTTCATTTGATTCATTCGAATGGATTGCAACAATTCGAATCAATTTTTTTTTTTTTATCATTCGAAAAATAAAACTAATAACACTGCTACCATCTAGTGTTGCAAAATTCGAACGTAAAAACGTCGTTTATGAACAATGATGATACACACAACAAACTTTAATGATTTTTTTCGTGTTTCTGCATGCGCAGTGACAATCAACAGAGGCTTTTTCCTGTTTCTGGTATGCTGTGTGTGTGTTCTTTTGATTTTTTCTTTCAGCCAAACACGTGTAATTTATTGTTGGGAATTTGTTTGTGAATTTTCATCCGAAAATTAGGTAATTTATTTGAAAATTTCATTAATTTATCTGATAAAAAATGAATTATTAATTTGGGTTTTCTATTTAGAAAAACATGACCAAAGTAAGTCGTGATACTCTTTACGAGTGTGTCAATGCTTTGTTGGCCTATTCAAAAGGTGAAGAAAATGGCAAGAAACGTAAATTTCTTGAAACTGTTGAACTTCAAATCGGTTTGAAGAATTATGATCCACAAAAAGATAAACGTTTCTCCGGTACAGTTAAACTTCGTAATATACCGCGACCGAAATTTCGTGTATGTGTTCTTGGTGACCAACAGCATTGTGATGAGGCAAAAGCGAATGAAATTCCTTGTATGGATGCTGAAGCATTGAAAAAAATGAACAAAAACAAAAAATTGGTGAAAAAATTGGCCAAACAATATGATGCATTTTTGGCATCGGAATCACTTATCAAATTGATTCCACGTTTGTTGGGTCCCGGTTTGAATAAGGCCGGTAAATTTCCATCGTTACTTTCGCATAACGAAAACATGATGCAAAAAGTTGATGAAGTAAAAGCTACCATTAAATTGCAGATGAAAAAAGTTTTATGTTTGGCTGTTGCTGTTGGTCATGTAGAAATGTCAGCCGATGAATTGGCTCAAAACATTAATTTGACTATCAATTTTTTGGTTTCGTTGTTGAAGAAAAATTGGCAAAACATTAAATCATTACATATAAAATCGACTATGGGTAAACCACAACGTCTTTATTAATAAAAATTTTTTTTTCTTTGCAACCATGTCTTTATAATTATGATTTAATAAAACTTATTCAAAAAAAAACAAACAAAAAACATCATTTTGTTTCAATCATATCTATGTCTAATAAAAGACGACCAAAATTTCCTTTTCGGAATTCTGCAATAAATTTCTCTGCTAATTGTATATAACTTGGTTTCGGTTCTTGAACACCGGTTTCTAGATTTAAATATGAATGAAATTGATTATATTTGATGGCTGCATAGGTTAATGCTTCATGAATATCATTGGTAGGTGATGATAATCCAAGAAAATCAACATAATCAAAACGTTGTTGTTTATTTAACCAATATAGAAGATAATCAGCAATTAGTTCTTTACCAATTACTTCATCGGACATCGTTCCACAAAGAGCACAGCGCATAAATTGTTCAGGATCATTACGATCAAAACTTGGTTCCAGTATGCCAGGCGTATCGAATAGATATAGTTTATGAGGATGATCACAGATTTTGATTCGTTCTAAAACAGCTCTTGTAACACCAGCTTTTGCACCGACAACAGTTGCTTTGCCAGCTTTGTTCAGAAGAACATTTCTTAAACGATTAATAATGGTCGATTTACCAACATTCGGTATGCCCATCACCAATAAATTATAACTTTTTTCTTCGTTCATCAAAAAATCCGATTCATCAATCGTATTGTTGGGCAATTTTTCAATCGAATTCAATATAGTGGATAAAAATTGATTATTATAACCGGCATGTTTAGCATTGGCAGCTATCGAATCCATAAAGACAATATCTTCCAGATGAATATTATTTTCATGCATTTTTTCCATCAACTGTGATCGAATTAACGGTCTAAATTCTACTGAAAGTAAATCCGATTTGTTCAATATCAAAATGATTGGTTTATTCGATACTAATCGTTTGATTAGATTTAGATTTCTTCCACTGAATGGAATACGAGCATCATGTACTTCAAGAATACAATGAGTTCGTCGAAGAACTTTTCCAATATCTCTTAATCCTGACGAAATGAAAACATTTGATTGAATGCAATCGTGGAACATTCAAAAAAAAAAAATACTGACCTTTTCTCATATGACCAGGAAACCATTGTAATTTATGGCCAATTTGAAATGTTTGTCTTGCAACAAATTTTTTATTATTATTATTGAGTAAAAATTTTGAAATTTGCATTTTGGCATCAAATTATTGTCGAATGAAAAAAAAAATCTGATTCAATTATTCATCGCCTATTTCGATCCTAGATGGCGTGAAAATCGAATTCAACAGGATTTCGAATCGTAAAAAAATGGTGTTCGAAACAAAAAAAATACTCCATTGCTTGTCATTGATGATCAAGATTAATGATGATAATTGATGAAAAAAAAGATATGAAACATTCGCTTTCATTATCGATCGTTGTTGATGTCAATTAACGCCCAATTCATGGCAAAAACCGATGATTCGGTTGATCGCAATTCATTTGATTCTTTCATTTCGATGATCATGTTTGGACAAATTTATCGGAAAATTTTCTCTTCAAAAAAACAATCGCGAACATCTTCGACAAAGAAAAAGAAACGAAAAACAAAATCATCAAGGAAATCCAGTTCATCATTGATGAAAGAATCTGGTCATAGACCATCAAATCATCATAATGATGATTCGATGAAATCCGTCAACATTACCAAAATGAAACGATCATCATCATCATCCATACCATCGGCAAATAAAAGTCGCCATCATTCAAATGATAATGATCATTCAAAAAAACATTCGCGACGAACAAATTCATTATCCAAAAATGATGATAAATCTAAAAATGGAACATCAAAAATCTATGATGACAATAATAGTCGAATGGTTAAACATAATATGTCCAATTGGTTGGTAAATGTTAGTCATTCACATCATCATAATAATGACTTGATAGCCAAACAAAACAACAACAATAATAATCAAGCAATTGCTTCATTGAAAAATGAAAATCATCAAGATAATAGTGGTCGTAGTGGTCACATTCCAACCAAATTACCATTTCGAATAATGTCGAATAATTCTGGTCCTCAATATCAACAATTTGTTCGACCATTCGGCCATGTCAATACAAAGCCATTGATTCAATCTAGCCGCCCTTATATACCATCATTATTACAATGGCCTAGTAGTACTAATAGATCCGGTCTGATGATGATGGAAAAATCACATCATTTTCAAACATCAAACATTCCATATCGATCATTGGTAAGTTTTCATTGTGAAAAATATCACTTTTCATTTTTGGTTGTAATTTCTTCATTTTAGTAATGAATGAATGATAATTATTTGACTAAATTAACCATGTGTAATTGTCAGTGTTGTTGTTTCTTTCCTTATAGCATTACATTATCTTCTCATGGGTAAATAGGTCAAAAAAAACATTGATTTTTGGATTTAACTTGCTAATTAATCGATATTGAATGGTGGCCTAATGCCTATTTCATTCATTGATTTTCGACCCCGTAGAGTTATAATTAATTATTCATTATTTTGATGAATGAACTTGGTTTTGAATTCAAAACATTTATTATTGGTTTGCAAAAACACTAACAACTTTCTCTTGTTGTTGTTGTTGTTATGACTGATCAATTTTGTTTTTCAATGACCTTGTTTGATTCTTTCTTTACAAAAAATACATCTCCATTTCATTCGTTTCTTTTTTTTCGTAAGGGGCCGAATCTTTTGGCCAATATTACATGTGTGTGTGTGTGATAAGATCAACAAGTTGAACTTGTTCAGCTGTGCGCTTGTGTGTGGTTTAATTTCAATTGAATGAAAGTGGAAAAACAAGTTGAATGTTTGGGCCAAGAATCAATCACAGAACATGAAGAAGACGAAGAAGAAGCAATCGATGATGATTAAAATTTTTGATAAGAATTATGGTTCGAACATAATTTGCTTTTTGGGCAAAGAATATCTAATGATTATGATGATAATGATTGGTCTCGCCCAATACATCTATGCTTGGAATTTGCCCACATTTGAATGAATGACCGACCGACCGGCCGATCGACGACGACGATACAGGTATATTACCTATAGGGTATGATGATGCAGGTGTTGTTCACCAGAGGACCTGTTTGATAGTTTGTGGTTGGTGGTGATTTTGTATGTCGATCGAATGAAATAAAAAGCGAAACCCTCCCGTCCATGGTTATGCTCGTCGTCTTCGTTGTTGTTGCTGTTGTGGTGTGGATAAGCAAACAGAGAAAGAGAGAGAGAGAGAGATGAACAAAACAATCTGAAAGAGAACTGGTCTTGGGTCTTTTTTTTTCTTTCTTTGTTTGTTTGTTTCTTGTGTATTCATCAATCGGGTCTTTAAAAAGATTTCAATGGAATGATAATCAAAGCGAATGTGTGTGTGTGTGTGTTTCGTTCGTTTGGTCCGTGAATGTTGTTCGTTTACCACTGCTGCTTCGATTGAAACAAGTGAACTTTTTGTTGTCCATTTCACATTCCTTCTCTTTTTTGGACACGATTTTTCTTGTTCGTTTCGTTGTTTTGTCGATTTTACTGCCCCAAAGACAATCGAAAGAGAGATTTTTTCGTTGTTTCATTTCATTCATGTTGTTGATCTTTTGAAGTAATCGAATGCATGGATAAATGAATTGTTGAGAAATAAAAAAAAGGATGATGAAGCCATTGACAACAATTTGATAATCATGTGTAGTTTTTGTTTTTGATCATCAATTTATTGTTCGTTCGTGTGTTTTGTGTTCATTTTAAATCCAAAAATAAATTTTTTTTCTTGATCAATATATTATCAACAATGAAATTACCGATCAATGTGAGAAATCATATCATTTTACCAATTGTTTTGATTGATTTTTGATTTTCGTTTTTTCGTTTTTTCTTAATTTTTTCGATGTTAGGGTGGTGAACGTGTTGGTTGGGAATATCATGATATAACATTATCTCGTGTACCTGTTTATGGTTTTGGTATTGCTGTTAGTGGTGGTCGTGATAATCCACATTTTATGAATGGTGATCCATCAATTGCTATTTCGGATGTATTGAAAGCTGGTCCAGCCGAAGGAAAATTATTGTAAGTGTTTTTCGATGAATGAGAATTTGAAATTTTTGATTGATAATTGAATTTGATTGATATGTTAATAGGGTCAATGATAGAGTGATCAGTGCAAATGGAATATCATTGGAAAATGTTGATTATAGCCAAGCAATTCATGTATTACGTGAATGTGGTAATACTGTCAATTTATTAATCAAACGACGAGCATTAATTTCAACAACAGGAAATTCTAATAATTTTACACAACAACAACAACATCAAACACTTTCCATTAATGATGGTAATAATAATAATCTGATTAAAATTACATTAAGTAAAAATAGTAAAAAAGAAGATTTGGGTATTGTGCTTGGTTGTAAAATTTTTGTCAAAGAAATTGTTAATCGAAATTTAATCGTCAATAATAGCGATACTAAAGAAAATCATTTACAAGAAGGAGATATTATTCAAAAGGTAAAATTTTTATTAATTTTTTGATTTTGAAAAAAACCTTTGTTGATTTGATTGTGTTTGTTTTTGTGATTTTTAGATTAACAATACGAATGTTGAAAATTTATCATTGAAAGAAGCAAAAAAATTACTTGATAATTGTAAAGATAAATTAACATTGATTGTTTGCCGTGATTTATTGAATCAGAATTTTTCAAATGAAAATGGTAACTATATCAATGGTCATAGTCGAAGTAATAGTGCCATTTCAAATCAACTTTTTCGTCAACAACAACAACATCAACATCAACAGCCATCATTAAAATGGCCATCATCAAATGGATATGAATCATCGATACAATCACCGTTACCCAATACATCAACAAATATCAATGATTCGATGACAGCCATTAATGATAATGTTAATCATGGACCACCTTCATTCACATCATCCAGTATAGCCACAATGGCTAATAGTCGTGCCACTAATGGTTGGAGTAATCAAAATCTTTATGTTCAACCACCAACCCGTATGAATGATTCATCATTGATGAATGGTAATGATCAAACAACTAGACTAAATGGTCATTGTGAGCAATTAGCATCAACAAGCCATAATGGAAATACATCGGAAACAACCGTATCACCATCAGCCAAATTATCTCATCGTCCTCTTCCACAGAAACCAAGTACTTCTTCTGTTTCGGCTGTATGTTCATCATCATCATCAATACAATTAGGTGAATCTACTACAATTGAATCAACAAATGGAAATATGATGGTAAAAACTAATGAAAGTTCAAATCCCGAAACGATTGTCGATCAGGAAATGAATTTGTCACCGAAAACAACAAACGATGAAATTCGATATATTGCCTTTCAAAAAGAAGGTAGTGTTGGTATACGATTGACCGGAGGTAATGAAGTTGGAATTTTTGTTACTGCAGTTCAACCTGGTAGTCCGGCATATCAACAAGGATTACAGGTTGCGGATAAAATTCTAAAAGCCAATAATGTTGATATGAAAGATTTTACACGCGAAGAAGCTGTATTGTATTTGTTACGAATCAAAGATCGAATCGAACTTTATGTTCAAAACTGTAAAGAAGAATATGAAAATATTGTGGCCAAACAACAAGGTGATTCATTCCATATTCGTGTTCATTTCAATTATGATAGTGAAGGTAAAGGTGAACTTAGTTTTCATGATGGTGATGTTTTTCATGTTGTTGATACATTATTCAATGGTGTGGTTGGTTCATGGTTTGTTTATCGACTTGGTCGTAATAATCAGGAAATTCAAAAAGGTTCGATACCGAATAAAAGTCGTGCCGATGAATTGGCCACCGAACAACGATTGGAAAATCGTTCGAAAAAATCTAATTCAGGTGCGGATGATTTAGGCCTCACTGAAACTGTCAGTAGTCGAAGAAGTAATTTTTTTAAACGTCGTCGTAGTGCACGAAGATCGAAATCACTTTGTCGCGATAATTGGGAAGATATTCTGTTTGGTGATGGTAATTCGAAATTTGAAGCATATGAACGTGTTACACTTAGACATCCTGGATTTGTACGACCGGTAATATTTTTTGGTCCATTAGCCGATATTGCTCGTGAAAAACTTCTACGAGATTATCCGGATAAATTTGAATGTCCACAATCAATGATGAATGGTTCGAAATCAGAACAAGTGGTGAAAAATTCAAAATTGTCAAACAATTCGGGAATCTTTCGATTATCGGCAATCAAAGAGATTATTGAACGTGGAAAACATGCACTGTTGGATATAACTCCATCCGCTGTTGATCGATTGAATTATGCACAATTCTATCCAATAGTTATATTTATGCGTGTCGAAAATAAATCAATTGTCAAAGAATTACGAAATCGTTCGTCGACCAAAAATACTGTACATCGAAGTTCAAGAAAATTATTTGAACAATCAATTAAATTGGAAAAACTATGGCATCATGTTTTTACCACTTCAATTACATTGACAAGTGGTGGTGGTGATTTATGGTATAAAAAACTTCGTGAAATCATTGACAAACAACAAACACAAACTGTATGGATGTCAGCATTCAAACCTGATGAATCAATATCGGATGATTTTCTATTTCCAATGAATTCAATTTCTCGTCTAAGTTATGCATCATCACCGGAAAGTGATCTGGATATCTCAATCAATGATGGCAAAACAGATGATGATGATGATGAAGATGGCAATAAAAAAGATGAAGATGATGGTTTCTCGACTTCGATTACTGGAAATCGATTAGCAAAAGCTTCGAGTGATCCAAGTTTAGCCAAAATAGACACAACAGAAACATTGGTTTCTCGAACAAACGTTGACGAGCCAAAATCATCAACAGTAAATCAATCAACAATGGACAATCATAATGATCAACAATCCTCATCACCAAGCAACAACAAACAGATTCCTTTACATTTATTGCTTAAAAAAGAATTGACCAAAAATAATTCATTTCAAAAACGTATGGAACAACAACAAACCGATAATATTCCTATTACAGAATATCCAACATTGAAACTTGGTGATACTCCATCATCATCATCAATGAATCGAGCTACAGTTGATGAATCTCCTTTACCGCCTCCGCCACTTCCACCTCCTTTGTCACAACCGGCTAATTCTGTAAAACTTGCAGCTGTCGAAATTCCTCCACGAATTGATCGAAATTCTAAACCATCACGATTTCGATCAGCCCATGAACGATTATTTGGCTCGTCCAATGGTTCGAAATTTCCTACAATCACTTCTACAACGCAAGTTGCTGCACCACCACCACCACGACCAATAACATCGATTCATAGCCATAGTAACAGCGTACATCAATATCAAACTGATGATTCGGATTACATCAACACTACCGTTTTTGAATATGCTACGGAAAAACAATCAGTCGATCAACATGTAATAGTACCTCGTACAACCAATGGATCAATTACAAATGATTCACACAAATTCAATCGTAGTATGCCGGTACCACCAAAACCAGATAGTCTGGAACGAACGAAAAAAGTGCCACCACTACCTATTCAAAACGGTAAAACTGAATATCTTCAAAGTGCTGCTACAAAAACACCACCTTCACCGCCGCCAAAACCAAAACTAAACAATCATTCATTGTCATATCAAATGAATGCAATGACTTTGAATGACAACAATCGACAGCAATCATATGTAATGTATGATAGAAATCATCCACAAGGATATGGTGATTATGACAATATGCCATCACTTTATCCACCATTAAAAGTGCCACCAAAAAGAGTTATGAATACGATGACGGCAAATCCGATGGAAATATCAAATGGACCTCCCGGATATTATCAATCATTACCGCAATCGTCTTATCATCATCATCATGGCTATCAAACATCGAAAGATCATGCCATTCATCAACGATATTCATCGCATGCTGAAACAATATCGAATTTTATTAATGGTACGACCACCTATCATAATAACAATAACAACAATGATTTTACTATCAAGTAAGCTATTATCATTTTAATTTAGTCTTATTATTAATTGATCACTTAATGATTTAGAGATCGAAACGCTTATATTGATTCGATGCAAGGAGTTAAAGCAACCAAAGTGCCTGTTCATATGGATCCCAGTGCCAATCACTATAACCATTCTCAACCAAATTATGATAATCTTTGTTATCCTTCCTCGTCTGGTCTGTATATGAATTCAGGGGCAAATTATATGCCACCACCACCACCTCCGCCGCCGCTACCACAGCAATCGAATGATAATACATATCTGAATTTTCCATTCAATGTTTCTCGGTCAACATTGGATGGTAATGCAGTTGGCGGCTATGATTTGCATCATCATGGATTGATGAATGATATGAATGGTCAAAATGGATCACCGTTACCACCACCACCACCATTACCAACATATTCTCGTAGCAATAATCCGACACCAAATATTGTACAGCCAATTGCACAACAAGCCAGACAATCTGGTATTTATTTGGATCTATCATCGAATCGTGAAAATCGTGGCAGTGCATTCGAACTATATCAACGAAAACCATTGGAAACATCTTCGGCACGAATATCTACTACACCCGGCTCGCCAATGTTTCATGGTCTACCTCCACCTCCACCATTATTGCCAGTGAATGACTTCAAGTAAGCCAGTTCTCGATCAATTTTTTGTTATAGTTTTTTTTCCTATCTTATATCAATTGTGTATCAATGATGATGATGATGATGATGATGATAATGATGATTTTGTCCAAAATAAATTAATCTTTCATATTTGAACATTTTTTTCGATTGTTGCATGCATGTGTGTATGGTGTGTGTGTGTCTTGTGTCTGTTTCCATTTTCCATTTCTTTTAAAACCATAGCTAATTTGCTTGTTCTTTTCTTTTCGGGATTCTTTTCATTTTTTTTGGGGGGTGGTTATATTTCTGGTGATGGGATTAAATTGGAATGGAATTAATATAGTCAAACAAACATGTATACGAACATTGATGAAATTCAATCATCACAAATATCGATTAATAAAAATGGTAAATCAATTGGTCAATCATCATCGAATGTTATTGCAACAGCACGTGGTATATTTGGATGTGAAGGTGGTTCATTAGTGTCCGCTGAAACAGGTGTTAGTATAATAATACCACCATATGCTATACCGGAAGGTATTACACAGGAAATTTATTTTAAAGTTTGTGAAGATAATAAATTGGCACCACCACTTGATCGTAATTTGGGTTCGTATTTGACCAATGTCTCAATGTTTTTTGTTAATTGATAATTTTATTTTAGGTGAAACTTTACTCAGTCCAACTGTGATGTGTGGTCCACATGGATTACGTTTTAACATTCCAATCGAACTTCGTCTACCACATTGTGCTATTGTTAATCCAGAAAGTTGGTCATTTGCGCTTAAATCCAGTGATATCAATAACGGTAAGTGTTGGTGATTTCGTTATTCTGAAACTAAATATTATACTAATATAAATAGGCGAACCAACTGGCTGGCGAAATATTTCGTTGAACAACGATGAAGGCGATCGAATTAATGGTAACAATTTCAATGAACAATTTGTCTCTGTTTTGGTTGATCATTTTTAATCAATTTGAAATGGCATTATTATTATCATATATATGAATACAATATTACAAAGTTTTAATAACACAACATGATTTAACAAACAAAAAAAACAAACATCATTTAAGAACAACAACTAGTGTTGGCTGTTGGATGAATGTTGCCATCATCACCATTATCATCATCATAGTTGATTTGATGTAATTTGAAAGCTCCGGCATTGGCTGAATAAGCACCGACGGCCAATTTTTCACTTATTTCTGACCACATTTCCTGAATACCATCGTTTGTTTTGGCACTAACTTGAAAAAATCCATTGAATTTAGGAAATTGTTCAATGAATAATTCAATATCATCATCGCTAACTTGACGTTGATGTTTAAGATCGGATTTATTTCCAATCAAAAAAATTTTGGCATTTTCGGCCATACTTAATATTTCGAGTAGATGATGAGAAAGACTATGAAATGTTTCCAATGAAGTCATATCGAATACTAATAAAGCAGCTTCAGAGAATTTATAATACGAATTAGTTATGCTTGCTACACGTTCCAATCCACCCGTATCCCAAAGTTGAATTTTAATACGACTAAATCCATTACTGCTATGTACTTCAAATTCACGGCTATATTGATCCAATCCTATTGTGTGTGTCGATAATGAGAAACAAAATCATATGTCGATAACAAATAAACACTTACCAAGTGTGGATTGTCTAGTTTGGGTACGAGATAATTTCGATGTATCAATAAATGTATCATTTAGAAATCTTCGAAATATTGATGTTTTCCCAACACCATAATCACCGCATAATATAATTTTAAATTCGGGTATCGATGTGGTTGACATATTTTCTTATTATCGAATATCAAAAAAAAACAAGATTTCCGAGATCATTCAACCATTTTTCATTGATAATTTAAACAACAACAACAACAAATCGAAATTGTAAAAACAACAATCCACTCTTCGCTTTTTCTTTGGCTTTGGAAATTTGGACAGATGGCGTTACTTGAAAAAAAAATCTCATTTTGCAAAGTTTGAAACCACCATTCATTTTTCGAAATAAAAAAAAAAACATCCATTTTTGTAATAATTTATGGCAATAGCCAGGATAAAATAAAATTATTTCAAAAAAAAAATTTTCTATTTTAAATTAGAATTTATTCCTTTTAAATTATCAAAATTTATTAATATTCGAAAAAAAACAGATCATCGTTGATTAATCAAATATATGACAGACATTTTGGTGAAGATTACAAATGGTCAAATTTCATTGACAGTCACTTCGACAATTTCGGTTTCAGCGTCGGACAAAGTGATTTCATCATCATTTTTAGCTGCGGGAATTGTATTTTCAACATTTTCAACATTGATTATCGAATTAAGTTTCGAACGATTTTTCAGCGATTCGAACAAAATTTTATCCACATATTCTCGGTTATTTTTTTCTTCACGTTTGAATTTTTGTTTCAATTGTTTACGATCACGAATACTATCTTTGAAGAAAACAGCTTTCATTAGACTGAAATCTGTACCAACAATTTCCAATGCTGCATAGAATGATGTAGTTTCTTCAGCACTCCAAAAAATTCGCGGACGTTCTTGACGACGGAATGAATTATAAGTAGTTGAGGATTTTAATTTAGGAGCTTGTTGATTATCACTTTGTGAGTCTGTTTGTGAATCTGATTTTTTGACAACAATATTGCCTTTTTCATCGATGGTCAACATGCCATCAGTATTGGCAGCAATGTCGATCTTTTCCGATTGAACACTACTGCTACTTGATATAATCTCTTCTTTTTCCAGCGATTCGACCACCTCTACTGGTTGTTGATTAACTTGATCGCTAAGATTATCTTTGTCACCATTTTGTTCAGAACTGACTGAACTTGATCGACTAGATGTTCGACTTTTAATCGATGGTAGTTTAGGCGAAACTACCGATGTTTTATTTTGTTCTTCTTCATGTAGTTCACGATATTCCTTCTGAAATACAGTTTCCGGAGGATTGTAAAATAATAATTCTCGTAATGGTAATTTTTCTCGATCTTGATGAATTTTGTTTAATGTTCGACGACATTTTCGTAACGGTTCTCCCGGTGTTACAAAAGACATTTATATTAGATTAGATTCGAAATTGTTGTCAAATTTTTGGTCAAATCGATATTCACTTTATCAAACAAAAATGACACATTCTAAATGGGCGAGTGCAATGTTTTTTTTAACCAAAAACAGATTGACGCAATATTCTGCGAATCCATTCTGCGCACATTGCTCACATACAATGTATGCTTGTAAATTTTAAACTGTCATCAATAGATGGCGATCATTTAAGAATTTTTATTTTTATTTTTCATTTTATTTATAATTTCAAATTATGTTTTAGTAATTAAATTAGAGAAAATAAGATTAACAAATAAATAACTAATTGAATAGTATTTGACTATGAGTATAAATTATTATTATTCGGTTGTCAATTCGATATGTTGTTTATCCATTGAATTGTTGATAATTTCGGCAATGTTATTGTTGTCACCATTAGCACTAAAATCGATTGGAACGATTTTTTCCTGTGATTCTTGATTATCATCATCATCATCATCATTGTTTGATTCATTCTCTTTCATTTTTCTATCATTTTCTTTAACACTGGCTGTTGGCTTTACATTTCGACTTAGATCAATTAAACCTGATCGATCATTATCTGATACAAGTGTCGATATGGCTAAAAATGATCGTTTGTTTTTCTTGCCATTTTTCTTTGTCGAATCATTTTCCTGAGTTGTTGATTTTCGTTTGTTTGCTGTTGTTGTTGTTTGATTATTACTTTGACTTTTAGCAGTGTTATTTTCTTCGTCATAATGTTTTGCATACAAATCCTGAGAATTTCGATGATCAATCATAAAATCAGTTTGTTTAAATGAATGAAACGGTGTTCGAAATGTATTGACCGGATCGATATTACGATTGAAAAGAAATACATCTTCGGTTAGTCGATTTTTAAAACTTTCGAATGTTGTCAACGATGATGGAATGGTATTGTTTGTCATCAAATTGAATTGTTCTGCTTTGCTTGGTAGTGGTTGTCGAGGTGTCGTTACAAATCGAAGCATTGAATTGGTTTGATTCGAAGATTGTCCACCACTAAATTCATTGATCATACGGCCAAGATAATTTGGTGATTGTGGACAGCATTGCTGTGTGGATGGTGGAAATAGACGTGAATTTTGTCCTAATTCATTTGATTAATATGATGATCATAATGATTTGATAATTATCATAATGGAATGGAATAATCAAAACAAAACAAAAAACAGCTTACCGATAAGATTTGGCAGAAAAGAAGGAAATATTTCCGGCATTATTGTTGGATTATTTGATTGACGGTTAATGATGGGTCGTTGTTTGGATAATGCACCATTCTCTTCCATTATCTGTGTACTATCCGGACTAGAATCTCGATCCATGAATGTTCGGCTAGATGTTGGTAATGATGAAGATGAAGTTGGTAATGCTGATACTGGTGGTGGTGGTGGTGGTAATGATGGCCAAAATAAATTAGCATATGGTAATGTAGCACGAACATTACTGGCCATACAAGCTTTCCACATTATTTCGGCCAGATTATCTGATGGTGTAATTAGATTGGAATTCGGATTATCTACATTGGTCGAACGTATTGATGATGGTGGAACATAGGAACCAAAAGCAGGACAAGAATCACGAGTAGTATTATTATTGTTTGTTGAAAGCAATGAACTAAGAATAGCCGGATTTGACATAGTTATGATTGATTCAGCTGAACGATTCAAGCCCGATGATGAAGAAAATAACGATGAATCGGATGATGAGATTGTTGATGTATTGGTCACAATCGGTGGCATTCGACAACGATTATCATTGATTCTTGATGAGGATTCGTTCAAATTATAATTGTAAATCGAATCATTTGTTGTCGAAGGAGAAGAATGATTTAAATTTTGTAACCAACGTTGATTCATTTTATCTTGAATTAATTTCGATGCCGAATGATGATGATGATGAAGATGATGAGGATGATGAGGATGATGATGGTGATCATAATCAAACACTAACGATTTATTTATATCATTGTTGATCAAGGCTTTTGAGGGCTGTACTTGATGTGTTGGTGGCGGAGATGAAGCCGATGAATGAGATAATGTTGGTGATGTTAGACGTGATGATGAAGGAGGTGACGATGCCATCGCTGTTGATAATGGTGGTGGTTGTTGTTGTGGTATCTTTTTATTTGCCACCAATAAGGAAGATGATGAAGATAATGCTGATACAGATGATGCCGATGAAGATGATGATGATGATGATGATGATGAAGGAGAACCCTTTGCTGTTGCAACTGATGAAAATATTGCCGCAGCAATTGCCGTTGATGATGATGTAGCCAATGCTGATGGTTGTATAATCGGTTTGAATGTTTTATTTGTGAAACCAAACGGTGTTTGTCGATCAAATTGAGCACTATTATTATTATTATTATTATTGTTGAAACATGAAGTATTTGGATATCCATCAAATAGAAAATTTTTAATCAAACCATTACGATTATTATCCACAATATCATTCAATGATGATGATGATGATGATTCAGCTGCAGAAGAACTAGCATTATCAACTGCTAATGACACTGATTCGGATGGAAAATTTTTAGCCGAATTATCGATTAATGTATGAACATGATGACCACTTGTCTTCGATGTATTTGAATATTGATATTGTTGATTAGTAAAATTATCATTCGAATTGGAAAGTATTGATTGAACAGCCCTGTAATCATCATCCAATGAATCAACATCGCATTCAATATCTTCATCATCTTCATCATCAATATCTTCTTGTTTATCATCCAGATGACTATCATCGATTGATTTCAATGGAATTGAATCTTTATCATCATTATTATTATTATGTAATTTATTTTTTGAATTTTTTGATTGTTTGGACGATGTACGTGATGTTGTCGGTTTCGTTTGATCTTTACCAATGGATGATCGGCTTGTATTTGGATTTGTAGAATGTGAATGATGATTATGATGATGATTATGATGTTCTTGATTTTTAGTAAATGAATGTAATGTTGATGTCATTGCTCGTTTACGACTTCCACCATTAAACATTGCTTTTACATCTGAAAGTTTTTTGTTTTTCAGAGAAAAAAATATTTCAAACAGTGTTAAAATGGGGTTATTGAATGATAAACAGCAATGATAATGTGGATAATGATGATAAACATACCTTCCCATGCATAGATAATATGATCGGATGGTTCATCAGGATTACCAACTAATTTAATATGCCGTCGCCAGCTATTAAAATTTGCTGCATCCGGTTGTATATATTTTGATGTTGGTAAACGATGTGAATGAAATATGAATTTATTTGGTGAAAAAAATAATGCGCAATAACTACATTTAATACATTTAGCTCTAATATTTGAAAGGGTGATGAGGATGAAGGGGGTAGAAATGATAGAAATGATATTTTTGATTATAATTAGGATTCTTCTTTGGTGGTCACCACACACACACACAGAATAAAAATGAAAAACAAACCTTGAACTATTATAACGTGATGGTGTAAAACTACCACGACAACCCCATGCACAACAATGATAAACATCAAATGAAAATGATTCAGGTAATTTTGGTGGTTCAGTTTCAGCTAAAAATGATTTACAAAGACGTTCAGCTTCACGTTTTGTAATCATACCACAACGACGTGATGATACAGGCATTGCACCAGCACGTCTTAATAATTCTAATTGTACTGGTGTACATTGTACACAAGTTATACCTAATGCAACTCTACGATTATGTATTTCATTATAGCTAAAATTTTTTAATAATGTATTTGATATTTGTGCTAAACATAATCGTTCTTGACCATCCATTAATAATGATACAATAGGTATACCATATAACATTACATTACGAACATCATTACCAACAGTATTAACTAACGGGCCTGATCCTACTTGTATTGGTGGTGATACGGATGCGGATGAAGATGCAGATGATTCTGATTGATGTTTGTCTTGATGTGATGATGATGAATTAATAATTTTACTGTGATTATGATGATTGGCCAAACTAAACTGATTTTGTTGTTGTGCAGATGTTGTGGTAATCGCATGATGATTATTATTATTATTTAGGTGACCAGGATGTTGAAGCGGAATCGATGCATGACTGGTACTGTTGGCCGTTGTTGCTGTTTCAGGATTTGGATCCTGGTTGTCATTCGATGTTGTTGTTGACGAATGACTATAGCCAACAACAGTATTATTTGAAAATAACATTGATGCTGATGATGATGTTTCCGCTGGTGGTTGTTTTGATTCAATCAATTGACTAGATTCTTCAAAATGAAAATGATTTTTCTATGATCGTAGGTTGTTGTTTTGGGAGCAGAAAAAAAAAGACAGAAAAAAAGAGAAAAAAATGATTGTTTTTTATCGGTGGGGGGAAATCAATGAATGAATGAATGAACGAGATGGATTATTTGTCTCTGATCAGGATCATTAATGGCAAATGGGATTTACGATTTTGTCTATCTCATCATTACATTACATTACACATAACATTACACTAATTGTGAATGTAAATGATAGTTTCAATTGGTTTTTTTGTTTTGTTTTTCTAGCCATTAAATATTATGACACCCATGAGAATATTTGATGACAATGTGATCACCATCAAAATGAACCAATTTTTTTTGACCATTTTGTTGATCACATTACAGACACAGAGAGAATTGTCAATCAATATTGGTCAATAAATGTTTTGTCTGTTTGTCTATTCGATCTATGAGATTTAAAAGGGGAATCTGGTGTTTTTTTTCTTGAAACAATTTTTTCGATTCGATTTAAACATAGGTGGTCAAGAGATGGGTCAAAATAGATTTTTTTGGAGGTTTTTCTTTTTGATTTTAAAAAAAACTTACCTGAATAGAATATGTTGATGGTGGTGAAATTTGTAAATTATTTGAATTTGTATTTTCCATTTTTTTTCAATCATAATGATTATCACATTGTTTGTTGATTCGTTGTTGTTGTTGTTTGTCGTATCATTTTTTTGAGAAGAAAAAGTTAGCTACCGTTATCCAGAATGGTCAATTAGGAAATGATTATATTATGGCACCCAAAACTAAACTAAACCAAACCAGGAAAATTACCGAACCACTACTACTCCGCTAACTAACATTGGTCCAGAAATATTGTTCCAGAAACCAGAAACAAAGTTGACTACATTGATGATGAAGAAGAAAAAAAAAGGCCGTCAGTTTTTTTTCGACTATATAGGGGGAGAGATGAGCGTGTGTACACTGTACTATTAACACTGACTGACTGGTTGTTTTTCGTTGTTTTAAACAAACGAATAAAATTGATTGGACCGCCTTTATTGTCATCATTCTTAAATATTATTGGATAAAATGGGTCCAAAGCGGCGGTACAATGGGATGATCCATTTTTTTTTCTTGAATTGAATGAAAAATGTATGCGCACCGGATATTGTCGTTTGTTGTTTCAATTTTTTTTTGTTTTGTTGATTGCTCCATAATGATGATGATCAATGATGATGATGATAATAATAATGGTAATGATGATGATAACGAATTGATTGCAATTCATTTAATTAATCAATACAATGGGCGTCTATTTTATTCAATGTGTGTGTGTGTGTGTGTTTACTACTCATTCAATGTTATGTAGTTAATGTTAATTCTGCTATCAACATACAGAGAACGAACAAACGACGATAATGATTATCATTGATGATATGGATGATATGGCTGTATGTATGAGGGGGGTAGAGAAAAAACAGAGGAGAAAAAAAAATTAATGATACAAACCAAACAAAGTAAATGAACAAAAACAGAAACAGAAAATTTAAATTAAATAAGATGATGATGATGATGATGATGATCCACGCTTGTTTCTGTTTTGCAAATTTTCTTTCTTTCATTCAATCAACCATATTTGCTTAATTTTGGCAGCAACTAAAAAAAAATTCCAATTCATGGGCTATTACTTGATTAATTCATTAACACAATTCTCTCTCTCCCTTTCTCGTTTGCTTGATTTTGCCCTCAGTGTATCATCATCAGTGATGTTCATTGAATTGGTAAATTAGGGAGAAATGTAGATGCTTGTAGAACTAAAAAAAAAAACAGAAAGGTTGCTTTCAAAGAAACAAGCGGCAAATGAATGTAATGAAAATCAGTTGAATGAAATGAAAGGTAAACATTCGGGCGAAGAAAGAAAGTGAGTGAAAAATTTGTCTTTGATTTTTTGTGATCGGTGTGAATTGAATTGAACTCATCATCAAATGAGAATTTTATTCTTGTCTTGTCTTGTTTTTTTGAACCCAAAAAAGTAAATATAGTTTTAATTAATTAAAATTCAAATTGAAAAAAAAATGTTCAATTTTTTTTCCCGAACCAGCAAAAAAACCGATTTCGATTTTTTCTGATTTTTCTGACAAAGTCAATCACCATACACAGTGTAAGTGGACCAAACAAACAAGCAGAAAAAAAAGATTATGATCGGCGGTAAATCATTATCGAGTAGCAACTTTACAATGATGATTATGATGATGACTATATTTATCGTTTAATCGGATTAAATCAATTTGTTGTTTGGTTGATTCATTCATTCAATGGTATTGATATAATTTTTCAAATAATTGAATGTCAACGAGTGAACGTGTGCGCTCTCTATACGATTTAATGATCTTTTTTTTGTTGTGTACTGGATCGACAATGAACTCATAATATAACCGTTTTGAAGTAAAATGTTGTTTGGTTGTTTGGTTTTTCGATTTTCGACAAAATCGGTCATAATGGTAAAGGATAATTGATTTTTTTTTCGCTCATTCTCTCTCTCTCTACTAATTGGCCTGATTAATTGACCAATTTTTTTTTGCAAAAGGTGACAATTTCTACCCATAATCGGTAACTAGATTTTATACGGTCAATACGAAATGATCCATAAATTATCTTGTCAAGTTTGGTTGGTCAATGGTGACCATCATCATCATTATTATTATTATTCGTGGGGACCCCATTCACAATAATTTTCGATATTGAACAAAAATGTAAACAATATGAAAAGGGTTTTTTTCATTTGTTTGCCAAATATTGTTGAAACTAATGGGTTAACATTTCATTCATTCATTCAGAGTCAGTCATTGAACAAAGCAGCATTGTATCGATTTATCATTTTGTGAATTGATCATTCGGTTGATAATGTTGTTGTTACAGCCAAACCAAAACCAAACAAACATCCATTACAGCATTATTAGATGATGATAATAGTGGTGGCTAGCTGGCTATTGTTATATCCCGTTCACCCGTTTATATTTACCTTTTTTTTCTATAAAAAAACGAAGAAAAAACATAAATAAATATGTTTGGACATTGGCCATTTGAGCAATTGGTTTCGTTTTGTTCACTTGAAAATGATCATCATCTGTCAACAATAACATCATCAACATCAACGATAACCGAATCCAGTAGTGGTCCATCGGGGATTAGCATCAACATCATCATTCTATTTCCACCGAAAGGATTCAATTCTTGTTATTTGGCTTTTTATACGATTGGATTTTTTTTTTCGTTTTCGTTTTTCGTTGACCAAAGTTACTTTGTCTTTTTTTTCTATGCTCGACTTGTTTTGAGAAAAAAAAAGTTGTTGTCGCTGGTTGTTTGGCTATCCAAATATCAGTTTTGCTAGGTTTTCATCAACAACGTTATGATCAATGGAGACGAAAAATTTGAAAAACTTTGAGCCAAGCCGAGACTGAATTCATCGAACCGTTTCATTGTAACGGTGGTTCATTTGATTTGGCCATTCGTTTTTTTTTGGTGACATGGCAAAGATGAAATTAATTTACCAATGTTACATTGACTCATTGTCGTTTTGTTGACAAAAATAATTGATTCAAATGATGATGATATTCATTACTTATGTTTTGTTGATTTAATCGATTCTAATTGAATTTTTTTTTCATTGTTTACATTTGAATTTTACCAAATTTTAACTCGTTGGTTACCTGGGTTATATCATTTCAAATCAATCAATGATGATGATGACTGACTGTCTTCAAAACGCTTCAGGTTATTTCAATCAAATTAATTTTCTTGCTGTTTTGTTGTGGTTCTATTTTTATATGATGATGATAAATTCAACAACAACAATGTTTGAATTGGAATTTGATTTACAAATTTTTCAATTTGTTTGTTTGTTTGTCGATTGTTGGTTGTGGATTGTATGTTTGCCAAAAAAAAATTTTTTTGATTTGTTTGAGCAAAAAAAGAAAAAAATTCAAATTGATTCAATTTTTTTTCTCGGGTAGAGAAACAACCCGAACCAACAAAAAAAAACCACTTGCATCGCCGAACTGATGTACGAAAATTGATTGTCAATCGATTTATTATTATCAACAAAAAAACGAAGAAGAAGAAGAAAAATTGACTCGATTTTTCTTTTTTTTTTCACCGCAACTAGGTAAATTGAATGGAAATTGTAAATTGTAAATTGTAATTGTGTGATTGATATGACATGATATTCAACACAATATAACAACATATAACACACGATAAAACACAACAATACAGATGTGATTGATAATGATAATGTTGTTTGTTTGTTTGTTAAGTACCCATTAGTGTATAATAATAATACCTCTCTCTCTCTCTTATTGATGATATTATCATTATAAATTCACTAAATATCAATATTTTCCACCAAATCAAACCAAACCAGCCAACAAGCAAATCTATCCATTGTCTTGATATTCGAACGATTCGAACGTTCTAAACGTTCGAATCCTATACAAATCCATGTCGCGTGTATTAGGTGAAAATAGTCATCATAATAATAATAATAATGATGATGATGATGATGACTATTTAGATGTAAAAAAAGAAAAAAGAAAAAAAAATCCTATTACTTAGGGATAATAATAGCCATAATCTATTAGTGGTGAAATGGGAAAACAATTGAAAAAAAATCGAAGTTTTTTTGGATGAAAAACATATCCCCGATATCAATACCGAATTTGGTAGATTTCGTTCGGGTAGTTTTTGCACAATCCTAATCAAATCTATAACCACCCAACCAACCACGACGTAATAATGCACGATTGTCGGCTTTTGTTTGCCTTTCTCAAGCGCTATTCACTCGACAAAAAAAATTTCAGACCAAACATTGTTTGAATGATTTTGTTTAAGAGTGAAATAAATTCGTTTCTCATAAATTTAAATTAGATTGACGACAATCATCATCATCATCATCATCAAACATAATCAAACACACACACACACACTGGATACATTTCCATTTCGATACAAACAAAACAAAACAAAAA